GTCCCTTGGAAGTCCTCCGCTCTCAACCACATATTCTCGAAACGGAATGGGGTTTTCCTAGAACACAAACCCCCACAATCCAAAACTAAAGGAACATGATCAGAGGTAACCCTTTCTAAGACCGCATGAACAACGTCTGGGAATTTTTCTTCCCACTCCCCGAATATCAAAAATCTGTCCAATCTTGAGAGAGTAACTGGGTCTCTACCATTAGACCAGGTATAGGTTGCACCTTCCATTGGTAGATCAATGAGAAGGTGCTCATCAACGAAGACGGAGAACTGATCCATGTTATGGACCTTCTTCCTCCAGTAGACCTCTCTGACGGGAACCTGACTGAATTGAAATCCCCACCCAAACACCATGGTAAAGAGCATAGTCCTTGAACGAGGCTTAGTTCCTCCCATAAAATAGGTCTCTCAGCATTGTCAACCGGTCCATAGACCCCAGAAAAAACCCATCTGAAATTATCCTCTTCCATCTTAAACTCACAAGAAACAGAAAATCTCCTATTCCACACATTCATTTTAGACAACCACCTGCTATCCCACATAACTAAAATACCAAGGCCTCCCATTCCACAAACCTTCCTCCCCACAAACTTCTAACCACTCCGTCAGTAATGGATGCCATCTTGGTTTCTTGCAGACAAACAACCTGTGCCCTCCATTTCCTTAAAGCTACCTTCACCACCCTCCTTTTGTTCGGGTCATTGAGACCACGAACATTCCATATAATGATTCGTAGCTTCAATAAAAACCAGTTAAGATTAACTCCCCTCCCCCCTTCTTCAAACTCCTACTCCTAGTCCTGCCTCTTTCCATCACCACACCTTTCTTCTTGTCGTAATTGACGTCAGAGATGAGATTCTTAATCTCGTGAATCCCTTTCCAAGATGATATGGGCTTCGTATTTATAACTTCATTAGTGACTGCTATCTCAGTTCCCGTCACAATTGTTTAAAGAAGAGATAAAGTCTGAGCATTATTACCTTCTGTAGAAACTCCCAACAACTCACTAGTAGTTCTAATGTTGTCAACCACCCAATCCCTCCCCAAGTCAGTAACCTCATCATCAGGTCTCACCACTGCCAAGGGTTCCGCCACTGAAATGTTAGAGTCATCCTTCAGCCAAGGTTGAAGCTCAGTAACCTGTTGGATAGATCCCAAGTCATTAGCCACCTCCTCTTCAGTCTTTCTGTCAAACTCATAAACAGAATCTGAATCTGTAACATAAGCATCTAATCCAACACTACTTCCAACCTCATTCTCCTCATCTGTTGCAAATGGCATACAATTGAGACCTTTCAATGCAACATTCAAACGTAACTCTTTGAACAGAGCCGCAGCCTCATCATTAGACAGCTTAAACTACAAATCTCTTCCCAAACAGACTGTTACTCCTTCAGACAAATCATCTGTACTGCCAACCGGAACCAATTGTCCAGGAGGATCAATCTTACAGTTTTCCTCACCATTTTTCCCATCGTTATGTTCAGAGTTCAAGAGAGTTAGCCCATCCTTCTTCTCCGTAACATCTACAACATCCCTCATCACCTCACAGGAAAGGGTAGAAGAAGATGGTGGATCAGTAGAGGGGCTCTTAAGATCTGAAGACATACCTGAACCGTTAGTCACCCACTTTTGCTTTTCTTTTCTTGACCACCGAACTCCAGGAAAATGGCTCTGAGACGGAGGTCTAGTACTTCCCTTCAGCTGTGGGTTAGCAGAGCAGGATGTAGAAGAAAGGCCAGCGCAACACTGAGAATGACGAAACCTCTTGACAACAGGTCTTACACCAGCCTCTGCAGCAGAGAGATTCATCCATCTTCTCTTTTCTGGCGAGTTCCAGACAGTTCCGAAAAATCCACTGAAGTGTGGATTGTGCGAAGTGCTTAGAACATGAGAGTGAGGTGAGCTGGGCTTTGAATTAAGAAAAGAGATGGGCCCCCGCGTAACCTTGGTCATTGAATTACTTAAGTGTTGCCCATTACGCTTGGGCTTAACCATAAGAGAGCTGGGCTTCTTGTTCAGGATTGAAATTGATAGATGGTTGCTGGGTCCCAATTAACGGCCCTTTTAATTTTCTGAACACTGTTAGTTAGCCCATTAAATAAAAGAGGCCCAGAACGTGCATCTGGCCCATAGTTAGGCCCATCAATGGCTATTTCATGAGTGGCTACATTAATGCCACGATCTTTGCCACGTGGTTGATAATTTTTGAAACGACCAAACCGAGACGGTGGGCGCTGATCAAGGACTTGATTAACACGGCTCCTGGATCTACTCTTTCTACTTGCTTTAGGCGCGTGGGCATGCAATCGGCTATTTTCTTTGAAGCCCCGGCGGAACTGTAAATTCCGGCGACCCCCTCTGATGATCGTTGCAACACGTGGGAAGTAGGAATTCTCCCCTCCTACATAGTGAGACTTCGGGAGGATACAAGGTGTGACTTCCTCAATCAAGTTGACCTTAAAGGCCACTGTTTGATCCTCAACAAAGACGTACTCCGACATCTTTTTTCCGGCGGAAACGTAGAGGAGGATTCTCTCTCCACTTGCCGAATCATCCGCCTCAACACCTCTAAAATGACCACATAGATTACCGATTGCTTCAAACAGCTTTTGACACCACAAGTGAAGGGGTAAGCCAAATAACGTCACCCTCCTTATACTGCGATCTTTCGCTGTAGAGCATTCAACCGCGAAATACCATATGTTGATGGATAACACAGCTTCATCCCACCTCTTTCTTCCTTCATCCAACACCCTTAAAGCCTCTTGCTCCGACGGAAACCTGAACAGAAAAAGATCATCGGGAAGGGAAGAAACTTTTACGCCGCTTGAGACCTTCCAAGCTCTCGTAGCCCATACCTCAATCCCTTCAATCACCCTACATCTCTGTCGAAACGACCTACTAGACATGACCGCAAAGCGAATTCACGATCCTTGATGCTTTGATGATCAACCCTAAAGACCGAATCACCCCCTATGGAACATCTTTTAATTTCACCATGGAAGTTAAGATGTGGTAAGGTCGCGACACTGAGATAGGAACGAAGCATGACAAAAATCCTTGCCGAAAGGCCAAAATCCAAAAGCAAAGAGCATAAATGACAACGACAGACGCCGGAGTGAAAGACTCCGGCGTCAAAAAAAGATTAGAGAGAATAGAGAAAAGTCAAACATAAGATGTTACTTTTGCGATGGAGAATTTTCCTGACATACCTATCAAGCCACCGCCAGCGATCACCAATTTCTGCATCCACATCATCGATTTCTTTCTCAAGCTTTTGAAGAGTAGCATCAACCTGAAAACCAGAAAAAAGTCCACAACCTTCCAATGGTTAGGGTCCTACACAATTTTTCCTAGTATCTCTCGCCTTAAACCACCAATATGAGTTCGCTTAACCCCAATGATAGGAGAACCATAAGTAATGTGGACTAGCAAACAGTTTTTCCATGCAATAATGATCAGGAGCTCGCATACAGTTCAACTACATGATCAATGTCACGGTCTCGCACACAATTTGACCATATAACATCTTGTTCTTGTACACAGTTTGACCAAGCTTCCAATGTTTCCATCACTTACCACCAATTACAATATCATCAATACCAACCACAAAACATACCCCTTCACACATCACAGACACGTGTTGCAAATCTATCTTAATTGCTATCTATGACCAATTAATAGAAGTTATGGAGAATACCATGTCTAAAAATCATCTTATCTACAATCATGAATTTTTATTGTCAGTTTATCAGAACTAAGGCAAGGCAAAAAGATGGGGAATCAATGCTGATCAATGACAAATTTACTTGTTTCTCCTCTGTTTTGATCATGTCCTATCATGTTAATATCTCTCTATTTCTTCTTCCTTTCTTAGGAACCTTATTGTAGGAAGTTTTCCAAATCTATAAAATCATATGAAGTTGTTTCTTCTTTCTACTTATTTTCATTAGTCAACCTGGTAGGTGAATAGTTTCCATTATTAACCTTGGTTGGTTTTCTAGCACTACTAGTACTATATGAAGTATTTGTTGCTGCTCAACCACTCTCTTAAACTGCGGGTTCATTTCCAATTTCTTGTCGCATCGATACATGCTCGAGGTGGTTCTAATTGTTCTGTTCTGCCTTAGACTTGGCCACTTCCTCCTGTGTGGCCATTTAAGAGCCTTCATAGCTCATTACTCACTACTGTAATGCTTTGAGTCTTTAATAACTTGTACAATTTTGAATATCCCCCCTATATTGATTAGGGGGATATTCCTCTGGGACTGCTCCCCTCTTGAGCGCCTTTTATGAAATCTTTACTTGTCAAAAAAAAAAAAAAAAAAAAGCTCCCTTATTTTTATATGTAGCCGTATAGGTAGTGCAATACATTTTTGCGATTTTATTGGCATTTTCTTAGTTATGATGTCATGAAACAATTATTGTAGCCCAGAAACACGATAATTATCTCTAAAGACTTTCAACCTCAAGTAGATAGACCATTTGGTCCTGAAGTCCTTGTATTCATTTTCCTTGTTGCATTTCAGTCTTGCTAAAATTGAACTTATGAAAACTTTGTTCTCTGTAATCAAGTTATAGTATTTTTTAAAACTTTTTTTTTTTAAAATTTTACTTTCATCGAACTTCTTATGATTGCTGATATGCTGCTGCTGCTGTAGATTATTGCTTGTCGGTTATTTAGCATGCTGATCATGTACTTATTTTATTATGGTGGTTAAGTGTACTTAAAATGTGCTTCAGGTCCATTAAAAAGTTGGCTTTGTAGTGTTGAACTGCTGGCAAGTGGCAAGTCACTTGATACACTTTATCGATGGTGTTGTTTTCAATTATCTGTTTAGACGTGATTAATGTTCTTTCCATAAATTTTTTTAAAATATGATGATAATATTTGTTCGGGTAATTGTTTCTTTTCCTGCCCTTTTTCCCCCTTTCTAATTTAGTCCTTTACATTGACCCTTGTTAAATGCATACTTTGCTTCACAGCTCGAGTATGATATTTTGGAGTATGTTGTGATTGAGCGCTTGGCACAAGGTGGGCGTGAGAAGCTAAAAGATGATGGCCTTAATTTGTCAGATTGGCTTCAATCTTTGGCTTCATTTTGGGGTCACTTGTAAGTATTCCTTTCTTCTATGCACTACTCCACTGTTGCTTAAAGCATGTCGTTTTGACTATGTTATAGAAGTATTACGCTTCTGGTCTTTTGTTTGTATCCTTGAGTATTTGCCTTTTCGATTTTATTAGCAGCATATTTTTACACTCGTGGCAAATGGACAATAAATTTTAAAATTTTATGCTGCTACATTTGGTTATGAGGGTTCAATTTTAGTTTTACTTTTTGCTGGGTTGTATTTTTTGCACTTCTGCAATATTAATATTTTTTTTTCCTAAATAATATTAATATTGTTTATCCATGTAATTTTTCTATCAAAAACATTATTGTCCAAGTATTTCTTCTTTTAATTTACTTGCCTGCTAATAGGTCTATAATTGGCTTGTAATCTTGTGGTTGTGTTTTTAGAAAATACTGATAACACATTTATTATTGTTATACACTAGCTCAGATGCATATAGCATGTAGATATTTATGGGATACTTTACCCCAGTTTCCGGGTTGCAGATTAACCTCAGCAAAAGCAGGGTGGCTGGAACTGGGGATGTTGTGGGCATTGGAGATATCCCTGAGCACCCTTTTTGATGGTCAAATCACTTCGGACTTCTTATCTTTTCTTGCCATTTAGGCAGGCATCAGTCTGATATCTATATGAGATTTAGTTGCAGAGATTGATGAAAGCTTGTCAGAATGGGAGAAAAAAAGGAGGGAAATTAAACATGTTAACAGTGGGAAGTGTCAGAATAAGAAGTACACCGTCAGAAACTTCTTGCTAATTTTGTTTTCCATTCCCTTCTAAAGTTTCAATGAAGAGAGACCTATAAGCAGTACCGGGTTAGATGGAAGGTCTCCAGTCCAAGGTAGGTGGTTTTATCGGAATAATTGGTTTCATTTTTCATGATGGATGGCCTTGGGAATTAGTGGTGGAGTGGTGTGTCAACACTGCAGTTGAAACATGTCAGACATATTTCAGGTGGCCTTGAGGTACGAAGGGGGTTGTGCGTAGGCATAATTTACTTTCTTGTTGTTTTTAGATGAAATGAAAATTGATAGTGGAAACGGAAATATGGTGAAATTCTTGGTGATTTGTTTCTCGGAGCACTTGACGAACTCTACCGTCAGAGTGGGAAGCTGCGCATTTGGATGCCCTTTCCCCACTGAATTATAGATAGATAGGAATATGTCTCTACACTGAATTTGTTGGTCTATCGTGAAACTTAGACTTAGTTGGAAGGCTGAAGATAGAAGTTGCTTAGTACTGGATTGTGTTAAATGCTTGGCTATATTGTTATTCTTCTTGTGGATCCTACCAGCTTGCAACTGTGCTTTTCTTAGGGATTGACTGGGACATTCAAGAAAAGTGATATTTTGTTGGTCCTTTTGGGTGTTTGCTTTAACATTCCTATCATTGGTAAGCGCAACTGAAGAATACTATGATTGGATATGAGATGCAGTTTGTCTGATAAGAAATTTGATAGAGAAAATTCTTTATTGATCGCACCTTCATGATGTTGGTCTGGTTGATGGTTCTTTGCTTATGCCTGAGTTCATCATTGTCCAATACCTTGCATAACTGGTGTATTCCCATATCTTTTCAAAATAGAGATGTCCTACTTGTTTCTTCATTCGTCTTACATCGAGCTATGAGGACTTTTTGAAGCAAAACTCAATTTCATTAGGGTTGATGGCGAAAGTTTGAGTGATGTTTTCTTGGGCTTCTCCACCAAAGCATTAAAGGGTGTCATTGCTGCTACATCTTAGAATGAATGGGATCCTTTCATCAGAGACCTCAAGAATTTTGCTTTGCCATTCTTATTTTTTTTCATGGATAATCACAACCAATGTGCGCTGCAGTGCTCATTCGCTTCAGTTTGCATTATAAAAAATAGATCAACTTTGTAGAAAAACAGAAAAAGGTGATTGATATTAATTTTTCCCGTCTTTTTTAGCTTTGGCAGAAGTTGCTTGTGTGTCTCATTTGTTGTCTTGAATATCATTGTTTCTTTTCTTTTTGCATCTGGAATGAGTATGGTAATCTAAAGAATTTTGTTTTGTCTTGATTTTTTTTTTGGGGTGTATATGTAATTGATGTCCATATATGACAGTCAACAGAATTGTTTCTAGGTACATCTTAAGTCACCTGTGGCATGAAGGCTTGCTTGTGTTAGATATCATTTTACTGTTGCAAGATACCTGAGTAGTTGTATTAAAAAATTCAATTTTTTCCATAAGAGGATTTAAATATCAAAATTTTGTTTGTCTTCTATAAAATGTAATGATTCTTCCATTTATTATCTTTTTTTATTTTATATTTGTTGGTTGTACTTTTCTTTCACTGTTATATATATTTTTTTCTCGTCTTTAATAAGTTGAATTTTTTATTCTACTCATGCTTCACATCTTGAGGTTTCTGCGGCTCCTTGCAAGTGGAACACAAGTTTTTGACTTGACTTTTGCCCTTCAAAGACTATGATTCTTTGTTACATTTGTAAGGGGAATAGTTCTAATGATGTCTGTCTAAAATCCTCTTGAGCTTGTGTGATTCTAGCATGTATTCGCGTGGCTTGACATGAGTTGTTTAAGTAATATGTTAAAAGGAAAATCTATGCATGGTTTGTCTAGATCTCATTTTTAAAATAATACTTGTTCTAATGTGGAACTCATTTATATGCATACTAAGTATATTTTGCTGTTAGAGACACAAAGATGTTAAATTGGCATTGGATTTCTTGCAGAATTTTCAATTCCGATGTTTTAGAGCTTATAAGGGGGTTATGACTGCAGGCTAAATTTGTTGCTATTTGTATTTATCTTCCTCTTCTTCTTTTCTTTTTCTTCCTTCCTTTGTATTGTATTTCTTCTAATTCAAGAATTGAGGATATTTTATAAGTTTGTTTGTTTATTTATTTATTATTTATTTATTTTTTTCTTGGACCCTGACACGCGTCGGAGACGCCCCGACACATGTCGGACACACCAAAAAACGTGTCTGGAAATTTTTATTATTTTTTTAATTTTCGGACACGGCTCGGACGCTCTGCGGACATGCGTCCGACACCCCAGGGGTGTGTGTCCAACACACGTGTCTTATTTTCGGGGGTCTAAAGGATAATTTTTGAGAGAAAATTGGGTTAAAGTATAAATATGTGAAGTTATTTAACAACTTTTTTTTTCCTAGTTGGGTACGAACACACACATGCCTCCACAGAGGCTCGAACCCTTAACCTCTCTTTGAGAAGTAGTGGCTTGGTACCGCTAGACCACTGGCCTGTTGGTTTATTTAACAACTTTTACTCACTTATGTGGTCAGTGCATATAATTTTAAACTTGTAAGGTTAATATGCAATTTTAGACAAAACAAATAGATTTTTAAGGGCCATTCATTACACTATTACAGTAGATGAGTGATGGTTTGTGTATTTTTTTCATTATGAGGTTGATGAAAAATAGTAACACAGTAATTTTTAAAGTACTACATCATATATATATATAATATATATATATACTATTTGCCGTGTTCCTGCCGTGTCTGTGTCCTAATTTTTTTGGATTTGCCATGTCGCCGTGTCCGTGTCCCGTATCTGTGTCCGTGCTTCTTAGATTATTAATTTGGCAAAAAACCCCTTGAACATATTCAAATTGTTGCAATAATCCCCAGTTGAAAACTGACAATACAATGCACGAGCCGCATTTTATTGTTTCTATAATCATTCTACCCTTCTACACAAATTGGCAAATAATCCTTCGAACAATTATGGTTTTGCAGATACCCCTTACTGTCATGTTTTCATGTAAAGGAAGACTGAAATGTAGTCATGTGCATGAAACATGACAATTATGATGTGTTATTTAACGATTTTACTGTTTTTGATAGATAGGTTATTCACGCAAAAGCATGATAGTCCATGCCCCTTTTCTTGTGCGGGGCAGTTAAGTAGTTCTCTTACACTGTTAATAATGCCTTAGTGATAGAAAGCTTTTATTTTGCAAACCATTTATGGTTAAGATATATATATTTTTAAATTAGGTTTTTTTTTTTTTTTTTTTGAAATGCATGATCATTCAGTTTTTAAAGGGTGTCATTGCTGCTCCATTTTATTTTTTATTTTGATTATTATTATTATTGTTATTTTCCCTAAATGGAATTAGAATAACTACTTAGGAACTGGTTGGTCACCATGCTAAGTACCAAAAATTGAAAATTGTCAAACTTGATGTTGCACAATTATTTTATCACTTTTTTTTTTTTTTTTTTTTGATAAGTAAGATTGCATTAAAGTGCCCAAAAGGGGGGGATACATCCCACAGAAGAAACCCAAGGCCAAATGGGGCCTCTAAACACTCAGACAGCCCAAAATATCTACTATTTCCTCTATAGATTTACAATTTCTCCCCAGAACCCAACAAAATAGAGTGCTAATAATAGGGAACATAGGAGTCCCAATAGGAGTCTCCTTTCCTTCAAAATATCTCCTATTCCTCCACTTGATTTCTCTCGAAAAGGGTCATGTTCTGAATCAAGGCTGTGTTTCTAGTGAATTCATTGTACTCTAGGATGGTGGGTTGAAAAGTTTCTTATGAAATGTCAGATTTACTCAGAAATTTTCATTTCTACAAATTCTTCTGTTAAACTCTTCAATGCAATTAAATTCGGTACTCTAATTTTCAGTTTTATCTTATTTTTTCGGTAAGTAACAAGTAAGATTGAGAGACAGGTTTTAAAATATTCAGTTTAATAAAACAATACCTTACTCATTTATTTCTGATGCATATTGGTTTCAGCAGCACCAACAAATTGGAAACTGCAGTCCATTACTTCATTTTCATTCTTAAACTGGTCTTGTGAAATGATTTACTTTTGACAGTGTTGGTAGGGAGTTTGACCTATTTGATTGGTCTTTAAAGCCTTGTCCAAAAAAAAAAAAAAAAAAAAAGGTCTTTAAAACCTCATCTATTGTTGTATTGGATGCTTGATTACATTTTAGTATTTTACTCATGGGCATCTTTCTTGGGGTCAAGTTTATAAAATTTTTTTTGGGACTAACCTCCTTTATCAGTCATCTCCCCGAACCCTCTCTGCATGTACAGTCCTTGTCATTGGTTTCTTTGCTGGTTACCTTGTCATTGTTGCCGAATTATATTTTTATCACCTCCAATCTTATTTGCTTATTCCAGTGTTCACCATTCTCATTGTGACACTCGTCTGTCTTACCATCTTCGTTTAATTTGTTTTTTGATTACTCCAAATTGAACTCAATCTATCATTGGCATGTTGCCGCCTCCAGAAGTTCTCTTTTTAAATTGATTTGACAATCAGTAGTGCTAGTTTTTTTTTGTTTTGTTTTGTTTTATTTATTTATTTATTTTCCTCCAGAAATAATAAGCTAAAAGAACTACATAATCACAGCTTATATGAGTTGACTTGAACCGACTTTTGGTTGATACCTTTAGGAAATATTATTGTAATTTTTGTGTATTGTTACTTCAAATTTATAAAATATGATTCCTTATACCAGATCATGATGCTGAGGTTCAAATGGGCTTCCAAAGACGAACTATTTAACATCTGATATCATTAACTTGTTACTTTGTATATTTCAGTTTTGGTTATTATCTTTTTGTAGCTTATCATAATGTTTGACTTGCTTAGGAAGTGAGTTAGCCTCTGCCAGGGATCTCTAAACTTAATTAACCTCAATTAGGGTTTTTAAGATGTAAGAAAAGATATTGAGAAGTGATTGGGAGAAAAGAATATTTTATGAGATACAGTGAAACAAAGATAAGGACTGAAGCTATGTTACGTGGACTCAGGTAAGCATGTCGGGTGCAGGTATGTAGACATGTATTGGACATGTCAATTCCTCAAACAAGACGGATGGACACAAATTATAATATTATTGAATATTTTTATCTATTTTAGAGTAAAATAATGTCTTCATGTAATATAGTGTTCAATAAAGGCATTTCACTTGTTTGAAGCAAAATTTTTATATAAACGAATTATTGGATATGTTTTTTAGGTGCATGTCAGACAAAAAGTGTCGGACATTTATCCCATTCCCATCATACCCAGCTCCAAGAATTGTGTGTCTGATATTGGTACTTCATGTACTTTTGAAGAGTCCTTGAAACATAGGACTGAAGAATAGAAGAGAGAAGATAAGAGAAAATTCAGAATTGGAGAAATAAAGGGAAGAGGAGAGAGAGAATAGAGATGAAAAAGGTGCTAATTGCTTTTGTATTTCTAGAAGGCTAGGGAGTTGGTGGATTACTTGCTTACTGAATGTTGGGCTGATCGGGATTTGGTATTTTCAGTTGGCTTTATTTGGGTGTCCTGGTTCTTTCCTTACACCCTGGCGGAGCTACTCCATAATTGGAGAAAGAGGTAGCTTGAATAGATCTGAAAAGGCTATCGTGTCGTTAAATTTTATTGACCTTGCACACCATCAGATTTGTTGACTTGGCTCTGTCCCTTGGGACTCAAAAGAGACTCAGCTGATATCCTACGGACCTGGCTGATTCTCATGTGGCTCTGATTCCCATCTATATATCAGTGAGTATTGGACACAGACTTGGCTGATATGCAAAGATTTGGTCGATACGGAAAACTGTGCCAAAAACACATTTTACTTTATATGGACACAAGGATAAGATATGTGCGACCTTAAGCAAATCTTGTTGTGTGTCTAGGTATTGGTCAATTTTCTCTGTCCTTGGGCTGTCTTGAGCAACGGTCATTGTAGTTTTAGCGTATATGTTATTTATTTCTGTTTTTTTATTATTTTTTTATTATTTTTTATTATTACCCTTGCTTATGCTTAGTGGCATTACTTAATATTCCTAAACTCTTTCACCACCATCTAGTTTAACTGATTTCTTGTGCTCTTGGTACCTTTTTTGGGTTTTCCATGGTTTTCTCTATTGGGTTATCAATTCAGTCAACTACGATTATGAGTTGTTTACGTTGGCCTATAGTTTTATTTGGTTCTAGTTTGACTGTCATGACTAGTTGGTTACATATAGTCCCTTAGAGCATTGGTTTGCATGATATGTGAGAATTCATATTTGGATAAACTTGAGGGTCATGTGTGATCAAGAAATTACTGTTTCTATTTTGGATGCTGATGGTAGAGTAATTTCCTTATTCCAAGCCTAGTCTCTGTGAATGTGGGTTTGATCTTCTCCCTGGACCTGGGAAACGTCTGAACCATATAATGTCTTGTATTCTTATTATGTGGTGGTCTTTTCTTTTTTCTGTTTTCCTTGCTTGATTATATGGTTGATGTAGGAAAAGAGAACAGCCTTAAATAGCTAAGAACTCAAAGAACTCAAGAGTCTGAAAGTTCTAAAACTAGGGCTGAAAGGTTTGATAGTAGAAATGTAGGAAATCAAGGAGAATAGAATAAGAGCTGCCTCTTGGTCAGAGAAACAGATTATGGTTCAAGACACAGAGGATTTGAAAATAAGAAAAGCCTATTGGCATTACACCAATAGAAAACAAAAACTTATTGGAATCACTCCAACAGGACCTAGGTATCACACCTAGAGAAGGCCTCACACCCTCAAAATTTGTGAATCACTCACAAAGAAATCTCAAAGAATTTTTTTTATTTCATTCATTGACTGAGTAATCAGAATTGCATAGTATTCTTTTTATAATAACTGATGACCCTTGGATTACCCTACAATGGAGGTAATCAAAAGTTGACTCTAGCATAATAAAGTAACAAATAACTTAATTGATGCAATTTACCAAAACACTGCAATTTCACCATAATTGATGCAATTACCAAAATTATGCAATTTGACCAAATCCCCCAAATAATGCAAGACTCCAAGTGGACCCCTCATCATCTAGCATTTGCCGAATTAAGGCTTGAGCCTTATAACGTTCCTTTTTGCGCCTTTTGTATTTCTTAAAGATGTCTGCCGTTTATCTCTATCAATGGTTTGCCATGTATTGTGAGGTGTGCGCTTCCAAGTCATATAAAAAATTCAGCCAACAGTTATCTAACATGTGGATTTCTTCCCTTATTATGAGATTACCCCCCGGACTTTTCTTACTCTATTGCATTCTTCTACACACTGAATGCATCAAAATTCTTTATTATAAGATGATTGGCTTGGTATTTCAGTCAATCTAAGCCTCTAGGTATTAATTGTGCAAGTACAGATTTATTTTACAATATGGATATTTGCTTCCTCCGTATGTGAGGTCATTTTCTATTTATATGTTTATAAAATACTTTGTCTACTAAATGATTTGGTGGTTCTCTTATTTCCTCTTGGAACTTCATGATAATTCCTGATTCGTATATGGTGGAAAAATTTGCAATTTTATTCATTCATTTTTCTTTTTATATTCCTATATGGCTCGCTAGATTATTAGTTGTTAATGTAGTTCCCTTTTATTTTTTGGAAACTTGGTGTGGAAGTGGAGCTTCAAAAAGAAACATACTCACTCGATTATTAGCTGATAACGTAGTTCCCTTTTATTTTTTGGAAACTTGTTGTGTAAGTGGAGCTTCAGAAAGAAACAGACTGTTAATGATTACTTGAAAATTTTCTAAAGCCGCTGCCATTATTTGTAGGTGTAAGAAATACCCATCGATGGAACTGAGGGGTCTTTTCCAGTATCTTGTGAATCAGTTGAAAAAGGGGAATGGAATTGAGCTTCTTCTCCTGCAGGTACTTTTAAGATATTAAAATATGACGTTTATGACCTCAGTTTTATGCCATAAGCTTAACATTTCAACTTTTGTGATTGGTGTAGGAGCTTATCCAGCAAATGGCAAATGTCCAATATACAGAGAACATGACTGAGGAACAGTTGGATGCCATGGCTGGGAGTGAGACTCTCCGGTATCAGGCTACTTCTTTTGGGATAGCAAGAAACAACAAGGTGGACAGTTTGAGGATCTACTGCATCAATCAAGTTTTTTTGAAGCAATTTAATTAAATTATGAGTTCTTGCAAAGAGAAAAACTATATAGAAGATAATCAGCTCTTACGAAGAGTACTTGACAGACCTTATCTAACCTACCAATTTGATTCTGATCCAACAATTTGAACAATAGAGGATTTTCTATTGATGGAAAGATTTTAAAAACGTGGTTCTTTCAATCAGAACCTAATTAAAGTTGTAAAACATTACTATTATTATATTCTATAGCTTTTTTTGAAAAGGACATGCTTGAAATTTTACAACTTCATTTTCCTTTTTTTGGTTTTTGTTTCCAAATAATTTGTTTATTTATTTTTTCCCTTTGGTATCTATAGTAACATTACTAGCTTCAATGAATTTATGACATGCCTGCACATTTTGATTAATGAAATGGTATATATTATCATGTTTTGAAACTCTATGTTATCTAGATTTTAATTTTAAATTTTGGATTTGAAGGACTGTTTTTATGCTTAATTCGTCAAGTAAATGAATAGTGTATTTTGTTTTGTTGATTTTAGACGTTATCTGCATGTGTGTTCAGGATTTAGAGGTATCGTGTGCTACATGATATGTTATATGTGATACATAGAACATAATATTTGAGAGAACATACTATCTGAGAAGTATAATGTGCTTTCTATATAAGATATATTTCAAATCGATAGTGATATGTCTTTAATGTTTTTGACATGCCTGTTAAGGTCGGAGATGCTAAAATCTCACCATTCTTGCAGGCGTTGATCAAATCCACTAACAGGCTAAGGGATTCATTACTTCCGAAGGAAGAACCAAAGTTGGCACTTCCCCTTCTGTTGCTTATTGCTCAGCATCGTTCTGTGTAAGATTTACAGCATTATTTGTGAATAAATTACTTGCTCGGTTGATTGCCACAAGAACGGTAACTGTAATTGTAGTGAGTTGTTGAAAATATTATCTAATTATCTATGTTCTGCAGGGTTGTCATAAACGCACATGTGCCTCACATTAAGGTGGTTAGTGAGCAGTTTGATAGATGCCATGGAACCCTTCTTCAGTATGTGGAGTTCCTTTGTAGTGCATTAACACCGACAGCCTCTTATGCACAGCTAATTCCCCATCTTGATGATCTTGTACATCTGTACCACCTTGATCCTGAGGTCTCTCTCTCCCTCCCTCTCTCTCTGACTATGAGCTTTTAGTGTCCTTTTCCATTTATTTTATTTTATTTTATTATTTTTTTAATGATTTGATTAAGATACTTCTGTAGCAATTTCTGATAGGCACTATTGTATCTCTACATACCCCGTATAGTGATTTTCTCCATGTTTTCTACTAACTTAAGTTGACAATTACATATAAATTTAGATACAGCAGTAATGTGCTCAATGGTTTTTTTTATTTATTTTATTTATTTATTTTTTCTCTTTGATCTAGGTGGCCTTTCTGATTTATCGACCTGTAATGAGGCTGTTCAATTGTCAGATTAATTCTGAGGTCTTCTGGCCTTTAGATTACAGTGAATCTTCAAATTCCTCAATTGCAGAAAAGGAGTCTGAACCTACAGATTCATTTGACAAATTGGTTCTGGATCTCGGATCTTCTCGGAAGGCTATTATGTAATGTTCCCAAGCTTATTCCTTTTAATTTGTTTATAGTGGTAGCACCACTAGATTGATATGAAAATTTTTATATTTATAAAAAAAACCCCTTGTGATATACAGAATGTGCAAGTACCCCCCTGGTGTTCAAAAAAGTCCCCTACATCTTCCAAATTGAGCAAATAAGGGCATTTTTGTCAATTTGAAGACTGGAATACCTAAAATGCCCTTAAGAAAAAAATGATTTCATAAAAAACTGATTATTAAGGGTATTTTGGGGTTTTATAAAATTTTTTGGTCAAAATTGATGGTGTGTTGTTTGGTTAGTCACGTCCCAAACCCAAAGTTTGTGCACCAAAAGATAATGGTGTAGAGCTATGATGAATGTCGCCAAGTTTTACATTTAGAAATTGCCACTACTACCTTTCACTAAAAATATAGTTAGGGTAAGTAGGGATCGTCCCAAGGGATTGGTGGGTCATATTAAGTTGTGGAATCGAGATTAGGGTTTAGTAGGTTGAGTGATCAAAAGATTGGTTGGTGGTTGAATTACACTAGGATGCAATTTAAATTAAAGTAGGCAATTAAATGTAATGGAGAGAAAATAAGAGAGAGATCTTGGGATTTAGCGATCACCACTAAACATAGCTTTTCTACACTCTTAATGAATGATTAATGAGGGGGAAAAACATGTATTGCAACATAGTATGTGTGTGTGGTTGTTTCAACAAGCATGGATGACAAATTAAGCAACATGGTGGATAGCACAATATATCAAACTAAGCCATTAATCCTTTCTTTAAGCTCACAATCCAAACACATCACAAGGTTAGAGATATGTGCTACTTGCTTTCATAAGTATGGAATATCAAACAACAAGTATGGATTGTCCTCCCATTTAGCATCTAAATTACAACTACACTACAATTAAGCTAATGACATGAAATTAAACTAATTAAACTAAGGGAGAGGCACAATCCATCAAGAAATGAGAATGAACCATCAAATAAACCACAAGAGCATTCCATTAAGTACTATGTCTTGACAATCTCTAGATCTATAGCATTAATACACATAGACATGCATCAACAACACAAGACATAGAGACAAGCACATGAACATCTATTTTAGCATACATAGATATATGGATAGAATGAAATGATCAATTGGAAGCATTAAACCACACAAATCATTGAATAAACAAGATCTATATATATAAAACTGTCAAAACATTTATCACAATACAAATCCCCTCAAAAATACATAAATCAAGATGTAGAAAGCTTGCTTAGGGCCAACTCTAGCCCTAAGAGGATGTCTAGCCACTCATGGATGGTGTCCTCCACCCCTCAAGGGCTAACTCCATGGTAGAGATTGCTCCTCTTCTTGGTTGATGGAAGAACTCCAAGCTTGTGTCTCTAGCCTCCTTCTTTCTTTTCTTCCTTCCTAAGAATATGGAAATTGTGTTTCTATCTACTCTCAAGTATATCTCTCAAAAAGTGGCTCATATTCCTTATATAGGTAGGTTAAATATCACCCCAAATGAGCTGGGCTCGTACACTAATATTCCTTTCAATGATTGGATATGAGACAACTTTTAATGAGCTGGAATTTGGATTTTCTCGGGATTTAGGAAGTTCGATCGATCGAATTTGTGGTGAGATCGATCGAACATGGCTGAGATCTATCGAATTTAAGCTGGATCGATCCTCTATGGCGGCGCCTTTTTGGATAAAAACAAATCTGAGATATTTTGAAGATATTTTTGGGAAAAAGACAAATGTGGTAGGTAGGGTGGTACAAGTGGATAAGATGGAATCTTTTCGATCGATCGGAAGAAAGTTGGATCGATTGAACTTTGTGGGATCTTTGGATAAGGACAAAAGAGCTTGGATCCATTTTGGAATGCTGAGATCGATGAACTTTCAATCGATTAAATATTTGCTGAGATCGATCGAACTTGCTGAATTTTCACCACTTGTTTCCTTTTGCTCTCACTTTGCTTCTTTCTTTGATTCATCTCAAGATTGCTCCTTCATACAATTGTGGAAGGGAGAGAAGTTGCAGTGACTAATGAAGTTATTAACATGAAGCCTTTATCATCTTGGAAAGGAGTACAGGAGATAAAGAATCTCATTTCTGAAGTCAACTACGAAGGCAAAGGAGGAGTGGTGAAGGAAAGGGGAAAAACCAGGAGCAGGAGTCTCAAGAAGGGTGGAGGGGAGATTATTTTATCTGGTTTTCAATGAAGCTACGAATCATTTCATGGAATGTTCGTGGTCTTAATGATCTGAACAAGGGAAGGGTGGTGAAGGTAGCTTTAAGGAAGTGGGGTGCCCAGCTGGTTTGCTTACAAGAAACCAAGTTGGCATCCATTACTGACAGGGAGGTTAAGAGTTTGGGGGGAGGAAGGTTTGTGGAATGGGAGGCTTTGAATGCTATAGGATCTTCGGGTGGGATATTAGTTATGTGGGATAGTAGATGGTTAACTCGAACAGATGTATGGATGGGAAGATTCTCTTTATCTTGCATGTTTAAGATGGAAGAGGACAACTTCAAGTGGGTTTTTACTGGAGTATATGGACCGGTTGTTGATGATGTTCGACCTATCTTTTGGGAGGAGCTTCGCCATGTCCAAGGACTATGGTCTTTCCCTTGGTGCCTGGGAGGGGATTTCAATGCTGTTAGATCCCCGCCAGAGAGGTCTACAGGGGGAAGAAGATCTCTGGAAATGGATCAGTTTTCTGATTTTATTGATGAGCATCTTCTTGTTGATTTACCAATGGAAGGAGTAGCTTATACTTGGTCCAATGGTAGGGATCCAGTAACTCTATCAAGGCTGGACAGATTTTTAATTTCTGGGGATTGGGAAGAGAAGTTCCCGGATGTTGTTCAAGCGGTGTTAGAAAGGGTCACTTCCGACCATGTGCCTTTGGTTTTGGATTGCGGGGGTTTATGCTCTCAAAGATCCCCGTTTAGATTTGAGAATATGTGGTTGCGTGCGGATGATTTCCAAGGAAAAGTCAGTTCTTGGTGGGAAGGAGTCACTTCTTCAGGCTCGCCCAGTTTCACAATTGCAAAGAAGTTAAGGGCTCTCAAATTAGCTCTTAAACAGTGGAACGAGGATGTCTTCGGGAATTTGGAATGGAGGAAGAATAGAGTACTTGCTGAATTTTCATAGATTGATCGTCTTGAGGAGGCCGGAAAGGATATGGAATCTCTTCGTTCCAGGAGAGTCTCTTGTCAGGCGGTATTTGCTGAGATTGCTAGTATGGAGGAGATCTCGTGGCGACAAAAATCCCGGGTTCTTTGGTTAAAGGAAGGTGATCGGAACACAAAATTCTTCCATCGGTTAGCTAACGCTCATAGGAGGAGTAATCATATTGGAAGAATTCAGGTGGATGGTGAGGAGTTGTGGAGAGAGGAAGAGGTGCGTAACGGTATTACTTCCTTTTATCAGAAGCTTTACACAGAGCCTTTAGATTGGAGGCCCAAACTTGATGGTCTCTATTTTGAGGCTATTTCTGAGCTTGATAGAGATAGGATTGAGAATCCTTTCACTGAAGGAGAAGTTCTTAAAGCTCTCTCAAGCTGTAATGGGGACAAAGCTCCGGGACCTGATGGCTTCACTATGCGATTTCTGATGGAAAGTTGGGCGGTTGTAAGAAATGAGGTAATGGGTACTTTTCAGGAGTTTCATTCTTTTGGCGTCTTTGAGAAATCGCTTAATGCTTCATTCATTGCCCTTATTCCAAAAAAGGGAGGTGCTTCAGATATAAAGGATTTTCGTCCTATTAGTTTTGTGGGCTGCATTTACAAACTCATTGCTAAGGTGCTCGCTTTAAGGATGAAGGAAGTTATGGATGGAATTATTTCGGATTCCCAGAACGCTTTCGTTGGCGGACGACAAATTCTTGATTCAGTTCTTATTGCTGGCGAATGTGTGGATTCAAGATTGCGGAGGGGTATTCCTGGAGTTCTATGCAAACTTGACATTGAGGAAGCATATGATCATGTGAATTAGAATTTCCTACTCTATTTGTTACAAAGAATGGGGTTTGGAAGTAAATGGAGGAAATGGATAGAGACCTGTCTTTCGTCTGTCAAGTTTTCAGTTCTTGTGAATGGCTCTCCCGCCGGTTTCTTTGGTTGCTCTAGAGGTATAAGACAAGGTGATCCTTTGTCATCTTTCCTTTTTCTTGTTGTTATGGAGGGGTTAAGTAGACTGATGCATAGGGCAGAGGACCTTGGTTTTGTTAAGGGTTTCAGAGTGGGTAGAGATTTAGACCATCAGATGGAGATTTCCCATTTACTCTTTGCAGATGACACCTTGGTTTTCTGTGATGCTGATGTGTCTCAACTTCGACACTTGAGGTGTGTTCTAACTTGTTTTCAGGCAGTTTTCGGGCTAGAGGTCAATGTGACAAAGAGTGTGCTTGTCCCAGTAGGGAATGTTCCGGATATTTCCTCTTTAGCTGTAGTCCTTGGATGCAGAGTGAGCTCATTCCCTATTCCTTATTTGGGTTTGCTCCTAGGGGTCTCTTCTAGTTTTGTGGGGAGTTGGGATTCTGTGATTGACAGGTACGCGAAGAGATTAGCAGGTTGGAAGAAGCAATACTTGTCAAAAGGGGGTAAAGTTACTCTTATAAAAAGCACCTTGTCGAGCCTTCCCACTTATTTTCGCTCTATGTTCCAAATCCCTTGTTCCATTGCAGACAGGATTGAAAAAATTCAAAGGGATTTCCTTTGGGGTGGTAAGGGCGATGAGTTCAAGTACCGCCTTGTCAAATGGGAGGATGTTGTTAAGCCTGTGAAATTGGGTGGACTTGGTATAAGACGTTTAGTTCCTTTCAATCAAGCTCTCTTGGGTAAGTGGTTATGGAGATTTGGGAGGGAAAGACATCGACCATGGCGCAGGCTAGTCTCTTGTCGGTTTGGCGAAGAGGCTGGAGGTTGGTCTACGCGTCCGGTTACCCTAGCGGGAGGAGTAGGGATGTGGAAGGCTATTCGGAAAGGATGGGATGTTTTTTCGGCTCATATCAGATTCAAACTCCATGACGGACGTTGCATTCGGTTTTGGGAAGATCTCTGGTGTGGGGATCAGTCACTTTCTCGTACTTTTCCAAGATTATATAGTATTGCCGTTAATAAACACGCCTACATAGTCGACTGCTATCGGCTTGATAGCAGCGGGATTATATGGGATGTGCATTTTCGGCGATCTTTTCTGGATTGGGAGATGGACGAGGTATGTGTTTTTTTGGATCTTCTGTATCGACAGGAGGGCGTTGGCAGAGGTAATGATGTTTTAAGTTGGGTTCCCTCTTCTCATGGTCGTTTCGAAGTTAGATCTTTGTTCTTATGTTTGTCAAATTTTGTTAATCGAGACTTCCCGTGGAAAACTATTTGGCAGTCTATGGCTCCAACTAGGGTGGCTTTCTTTGTTTGGACTGCTGTGTGGGGAAAGATTCTGACAATTGATAATTTGAGAAAAAGGGGCAATTGTATAGTTAATCGTTGTTGTCTATGCAAGGATGGTGAGGAGTCCGTTAACCACCTCCTTTTGCATTGCCCTGTGGCGATTGACTGTTGGAATCTTATTGTTGGGTTGTTTGGTATGTGTTGGGTTATGCCACGATCTACTAAGGAATTGATTCATATTTGGAGAGGTTGTCGAGTGAGAAGAGACGTTCGCGAGTTCTGGAGAATTGTACCACATTGCGTATGGTGGTGCATTTGGAAGGAGAGAAACAGCAGAATATTTGAAGGAAAAGAGTCGCCTACAGAAACGGTCAAACTTTACATTCTTCGTTCTCTCTTCAATTATGTGAAGAGAAGCTTTTGTTCTTCTTCATATGATTTAATTACTTTTCTGGATTTTTTGGGGCCTTAGTTCCGGTTCCACTTTTGTAATTGGGACGCGTTCTCCTTTTGAACGCCTTTTTTAATATTATTTTTACTTATCAAAAAAAGATTGCTTCAATTATGCTCTTATTTAGCTGAGTTAGCTTATTTTGGGGATAAGTACCTGAAAATGGAAATAATACAAAATCAATCTAAAGCGGGAAAATAAGATAGATAAAGGTCCTAGAATACCTAAGCTTAAGGGGTTTAAATGCGCACTTTTCAGCGCTCATCAATTGACAGTCAAATTGCACATTTTCAAATGTTAGGGATTAATATGAACATACAAAATTATTGCAGGGGTGTTTTTTGCACAATTTTAATATAGAAAGTTTTTTTATTTTTTTTGTTGCACTTTACCTTACCCATTTATAATTATATATAGTTACTTGAATATGTATGCATGTAAGTATCCATTTGTGGATGTGTGTGATTTACTCTCTTTAAAATTTTAATTTTGTTATATGGATTCTAAAAATTCTTTACGTCACTTTATTTCAAACTTCTACTTTCTAACTACCTATTTCCCTTCTTTCATATTTTATTCGTTATATGCAGGTGGTCAGATCTTCTTGATATTGTTAGAACAATGTTGCCTTCAAAAGCATGGAATAGCCTCTCTCCTGATTTATATGCTACTTTTTGGGGTCTCAATCTCTATGATCTTTATGTTCCTAGAAACCGCTACGAGTCTGAAATTGCCAAGCAGCATGCCGCTCTGAAAGCCCTGGAAGAACTTTCTGATAATTCAAATTCGGCAATAACTAAGAGGAAGAAAGACAAGGAAAGAATTCAAGAATCTCTAGATCGTCTTACTAGTGAGCTTCAGAAGCATGAAGAAAATGTTGCATCTGTTCGTAGACGGCTTGCTCGTGAAAAGGATAAATGGTTGAGTTCCTGCCCTGATACTTTAAAGATTAACATGGAGTTTCTTCAGCGCTGTATTTTTCCACGCTGTACTTTCAGTATGCCAGATGCTGTTTATTGTGCCATTTTTGTACATACTCTCCATTCTTTAGGAACACCATTTTTTAATACTGTGAACCACATTGATGTTCTGATATGTAAAACCTTGCAACCTATGATATGCTGCTGCACCGAGTATGAAGTGGGTCGACTTGGGAGGTTTTTATATGAGACGTTGAAGATTGCATACCATTGGAAGGTGCATTACCATTTTAGCTATTTTAGTAAATCTTGGATTCTCAAAGATAATTATGACTTATGAGTATGATGACATTAATTCAGGTGATTAACAGCTTTCACCATTGCTTTGTTTTACAGAGTGATGAATCAATATATGAACGTGAGTGTGGAAACATGCCAGGCTTTGCGGTCTATTATAGATATCCAAACAGTCAGCGTGTTACATATAGCCAGTTTATTAAGGTGAGTTTATGGACATTTTAATTGCGTAGTATTTTGTTGACTCTTTCAATACAAAAGGTTATGCAATCTGTTCATTGTACTCTGTATATGCTCTATAAACGTGTGAGACAATATTAAATTTGTCACTCTTTTCTTGCAGTCCTAGCAGTGATTCAATATTCAGCAGCATTTTCATTTTTCATAATATAATATTTATCTTTATGATATTCTGCCTCTTTCATAGTTTTAGAGCCGAATCTCTTCCTCATCCCTCAACGCCATATTTTTGTATTATGTTTGTCTTTTAACATTCGTACATTTCACCTCACTATGGGAAGCTGATGAATTAATATCATATGGGAAGTGTAGGTTTAGATTAAAAAAGTAACCCTAGGGAGGTTAGACAATAATATATAATTTTTCTATGTAGGATCGGTATATGCAAGGTAAAAAAAAAAATTGCTTTGAATAAGATGAAAATATGAACCGACTTAAGGATCTAATGACATTTCTATTGTGGCTTGGAGGTCTTTAGTTGATGATTGCATGTCTCTGGTTGGCAAAATTGTTCAATAAGATATAATAACTAAATAGATGTCTGTTGGGTGGCGTAAAAAAGTAATACTTATGCATAAAATAAAAGGGAATAAAATTGTTAAATTATAGAGGTATCACATTAATGACTGAAATTTTGGAAGATATATATATATATATATATATATTTAAAATAGCAATTGAGGCATGAAACTACAATTCTGGAAAATTCAATAGGATTTAATGATTTATGTCGGGAAGGTCAACAATGGGATCTATTTAAATATTGAGAATGACAATAATTAAATATAGATAGAGAATGATCTATATATGGTTTTTAGAGATTTGGGAAAAGCCTATGATGGTAATCTTTATTATTTTATGGGTTTTGGATATGAAAGGATTTTTAATGTGGTAATTGACATGTATGATGAAACAATGACCATAGTAAGAAGTTAAGAACAACTGCAGGAGAAACAAATGAATTCCTTGTTATCGTAGGCTTACATTGAGGATCAATATTGATCTCATATCTTTGCGTCTTAGTTATGGACTAAATAGCATAGACACAAACACGGGACAGATACAATATGGCGTGAATACATCGACACTCGATATTCTAAAAAGTTAGGGCACAACAATATGTGTGTGTGTATATATATATATATATATTTTCTTTTATATACGTCTATTGAGTAAGACTATTATAGAACCTCAATTCATTTACCTTTTGTATTACAAGTTACTCCAACATAATTTAGAAGATGAAGTTATGCGATTATTATAATAAGTTATATAACACATATGCTACTGTACCACTACTTTGTCATTACAATTATGTTTTTTGTTCCTCTTAAAAGGTATCATCTAAATTATGTTTTTTGTTCCTCATGAAAAGGTAACATGTAAAGAGCACAGACAATTCTACAAAGGTGTTGTGTCTGACACTACGGCGGACACTGACAATCCATTGACACTCCTAGACACATGTCCGACACTTCATGGCCGTGTTCATTATTTAAAAATAATTTTTATTATTTCGGACACTTGGTTTGACACATCCTGGACATTTGGTTGACACATCTCGGACACTTGGTTGACACATTTCGGACACTAGACAAATACATTTTACACTGTTAGGCTTACATAAAACTAACAGACAGTCCTGCTAGGTGCAAACAATTCCTTGGAGGAGCTGGGGGGGGACAAATACATTTTACACTGTTAGGCTTACATAAAACTAATAGACAGTCCTGCTAGGTGCAAACAATTCCTTGGAGGAGTAGGGGGGGGGGGGGGGGGGGGGGGGTGGTTAGGGGGGAAAAAAACTAACAGACAGTTGTGGAAACAATATTATGAACATAATTTTCCAACCTAGGAACAAAAACATAACTATAATGACAAGATAGGATAGTAATATCATATATAATAGAACATTCCTTTTGATATTAGCTATCTTCTTACTTGTGTAGTTTTAGTAAAGAAATATTAAATTAATTAAAGTTCTATGATTGTCTCATTCAATTCAATGGAGATATAAATGAAAATTTATATTTATATTAGCCGTGTGGCTCGTGTCCACGCTGTGTGCGTGTCCTACTTTTTTAGAATTTGGCATGTTGGCGTATCTGTTTCGTATGTCTACGTGTGCATACTTCTTAGGGTATCATTGTATGCTTCACTTGTGACCATGTGTATTATGACAATTCATTAAGGAAAAGAGTCGGACACTTTGAAATGTGCTTACATTCTTTTCAAGATTGCCACTCATGGCTACTCTAGATGTATTTGTGTTATATAAGGCTTGTGTTAGCGATATTCGGAAGTGTCCTGAAGTGTTGGCTTAGTGTTCAAATAATTAAATTTATTTTTAAATTATGGACACACATATAAAGTGTCGGACACATGTTCCAAGGAGTGTGCGAATTGTTAGTGTCCGACATGGATAGGACTGCTTGGTGCAAATGCCCGTGCTTTCTTGGTTATGGATAACGAAACGCATATTGGATGAGGATATGCTATTTGCTTATGATATCATTTTGATTAAGGAAATTAGAGCAGGAATTAGTTCGGAGAAAAACTTGGTAGGAATAATATTCAATATATGGAAGAAACTGTAATAAAACTATAAATGCAAGTAGGGATGTAGGGTAAACAGTGGGTCAGGAGGTACTGAAAGGCTAACATTTTTGTTGCATGGGCTCGATTACTTCTACAAGGAGAAATTGGGAATGATGTTATTTATGTAAATTAAGTAGGATATGTGAAATGGAGGAGTGTTTCAGACATCTTGTGTAGTACCTAAAAATTTATAAGGTAAAATTTTAAACCAACTATTAGACTCTGGGAAGAATGTTGGGCAGTTGAAAAAGTACTCATGAAATTTGGCAGAAATGTAAATGTTGAGAATAATGTGTGGCAAGACAAAAAAAGAGAATTCAAAATAATAGCATATCCTTGAGATTCTTGAAGTAGCGCTGATTGGAGCTGATTGGAGATATAGTGGGGGAGAACAGACATTTGTACCAGACATTTGTAACGGAAAATAGCGATGACCGCTATTTGTACCAGTTAGAAAAAACCTTTCTCATGGACATGGAACGTGGGTGGGGGCAAGAATGTATCCATGCATCGGACTTATCAAATTTCCAAATTGAATGACACACAAACACTGCTTAATTTTTGTATTATTTTAAATTTTTATTCTAATTTTTAGAATAAAATAATTTCTGTTTGTAATATAGTGTCCAATATAGGCATTTAACTCGTTTTGAAGCAATTATTTAATACAATTTATTTATTTGATATGTTTTCTAAATACATGTCCCACCAAAAGTGTAGGATACATTTCCCATACCCATATCCGAGTATTGTGTTTGACATGGGTACTTTACCTACTTTTGAAGAGTTCATATAACATAGGAAAAAATGATGTGGTCATGCTAGGGGGAAGGGAAAGACCAAAATTAACATGAGTTGAGATAGGAGAGATGATCTCTTGTGGTTTAACCTTGGCTATTGTCGCAAGGTGGAATGATGAAAAAGGATTCATATAGCCCACCCCAAATAGTTGGAAGACGCTTTCTTGAGTTGAGTTGAATCAAGTATCTATCAAAAGTTATATTCCAGCATGCCGCATGCATCGAAGGCCGTTTCTCCTACTGTATCATCTACCTTGTTAAGTTGGTCAGACTTTCCTTTTTATGTAAAAAAGTTCTTGGTTAAAATGATGTTCAATCAACATACGCATGTTGAGACTTTGGCCTAATCTGGATCATCCATCCTTCTTTCTTACTCTGTGTGTGTGTGTCTTTAAAATGGACATTTCTGCTGCTGTGTAAACCTTTCAATTTGCCGCAGGGCTGCTGTTCCCCGTAATATGACTTGAACCTGATCAAGTTTTATTATTTCTGATATATTTGTTTTCTAAGCAAAATATTATTAACCGAACAACAGAATACAAGCATTTCTGATATTTGCCTCAAGCAATTCATTCATCCATTTTTTGGTGAAAGGTACACTGGAAATGGAGTCAAAGGATCACGAGGTTACTCATTCAGTGCTTGGAATCAGCTGAATACATGGAAATTCGAAATGCACTTATAATGTTGACAAAAATTTCTAGTGTTTTCCCAGTAACTCGAAAGTCTGGGATCAACCTTGAAAAACGGGTAAGAATATTTTGAACTGAATTCTTTTATGCACATTTTAATCTCTTTGTGCTGAGTAATGATCTCTCTGTTGCTACTCTTCTTTATTCCTCTATAAAAGGAACATTACCAGTTTTGTCTCGCTACAACGAGGTCCTGGGGAGGGAGAACTTGAGAGACCTAACCTGTGGTATTCTTTATTGCTTAATACAGGTAGCTAAAATTAAAAGTGATGAAAGGGAGGATCTCAAGGTGTTGGCAACAGGAGTTGCTGCAGCTTTGGCATCTAGAAAGGTAAATTGCCGAATGTAAGCTCTTAAGACATTTACTTAAGTGCAAATAACAGCTATCTATATGTAGTATTTTTGATGTTGTCTCTCTCTGGCGTTTCTATGCAGAGAGTTGGATGTAGATGTTGTTTTTGGGCAACAGATTAACATGTGCTTGTTTGCTCATTTTTTAGAATATTAATCTATTTTCCTCCCTATTTGCAGCCTTCATGGGTTACTGAAGAAGAATTCGGCATGGGCTATCTTGAACTAAAGCCTGCACCATCGCTTGCTTTAAAGTCTCTAGCTGGTAATTTAGTTGGTGTGCAAAATGGTTCTGGCATTAATGTTTGTCACAGTGAACCTGCCGGAGGAAGAATTGTTTCTACAGGAAGCCAACATACAGATTCTGGAAATGCTTTTAAAGACCAGGTGTTGCGAACAAAGCCTGTGGATGGGAGGTTGGAAAGAACAGAAAGTTCTTCACTGAAATCTGATTCCGGACATGTAAAACTAAAAGGTAGCTTGTTAGCAAATGGGTCAGATCTTCAGTCATCCTTACCCTCTGCTGCTGTACAAGCTGGGACATCCAAATCAACAGAAAATCAGAAGCAGATGGATGAATCCACAAATAGAACATTGGATGACAATGTCACAAAAGTTACGTCAAAAACACCCTCAGAATCTGAGGTATTGTTTGAATTGTTGGTTTGTTTTGAGTATATTGACATGGAGTTGTTTATGTGTAGTTGGTCAGGCAAGTTGATATTAGGTATATAAATCTTATTTTATTTCATTTTTGTTTTATATTTGAATGTTATTTCACTGTCAACCAACATGGATTTAATATTTGCAATGCCTAATGGAATGAACACAAAGTAATAGTCGGAAGCATGAGCTGTTACCTTTTTATGGGTGCCGTAAATGTTGTAATGCAAGCAGATGTAAAATTGAAGGTCTACAATAAGGAAGGAAGCTTGGTTTTCGAGAAGCTACTGTTAAAGTGAGTGATGCATTTGAAAAAAGAGCTTTAAAACCGCCCAGTACCATTTTCTCTTCCCCACCCCTTCCCACAGCCCCACCCCTTCCCACAGCCCCACCCGTCCACCTAAAAGAAAAAGTAATAACAATAATAATGTCCCTTTCTGAGTTTGTTCTTTACGTTATTTGCAGTCATACTTACAGATTTTGAATTGGTTGCTATTAAGATTATAGGGGATGATCACGATCGTATATATTAGTTATTGAGCAGTAATCATTAAAACACAATTTATTCTCTTCTTCTTTAGAAGAGGGGGGTGTTTAGAGTTGTTTGTTGAGACCAGTACTGGGAATATGCTCGAGGTAGCCTGGCCTGGGCCCGGGCCCTAGGGATTTTCAACTAAGAGAAAAGCTATCCCAATCCAGGTCCTTTTCCTTTCCCTTTGGTTTTTGACTGTAGTTTTAACAAGGTTGGTGTTTGGTATTTAATTAATTAAGACAGAAATAGGCCCTCACTTATATTTTTGATCCTTAATCTCCGTTATTTCTAGTTCGATTGCCCCGTGAACTTGTAGTGTCCTAATAACATTTTTTTTTTTGGTAAGTGTAGTGTCCTAATAACATTCACTAACACATTTCTATTGCATTCTAGTTGCACCACCATTCCCTACCTGCGTCTCTCTAACCTTCTTTGCCTTCCGTGCACTCGTGCTCTGACTTTGTAATTATAGTCACTAGAAGAAAATATTGACGTTATCTGTTTTCCTTTATAATTACTTTAAAAGGTTGGTCTAGTGACCTACACCAGTATTTGAGGTTAACTTCTCTGCTATTTGATCCCAGTCACACAATTAAGAAATTAAAGCTTTTTATTAGTCTTCAGAATGATGAATTTACTAGGTATGGTAGATTTGCGGACTGTGGTAGGTCTCAAAATTGAGATCTTAATCATTGCAACTGGTCCAAATTATTTAGCACTATTGATCTGCTTAACAATTCCCCTCGTTGAAGCTACTGTTCCACAATTTTCCTTTTGAGTGATGCATCCAATATGAAGCATTATGAATATTTTTTCGCCATTTGTTTCTTGTAGCGTGCATGTTTTTCACTTTTATTTTCTTTATTTATCCTCAATTTTCTCCATTTCTATTGACAGGCGAGAGCTCCAGTAAAACGGTCAGTGCCTACTGGATCTCTTTTGAAGCAACCAAAACAAGATATTTCAAAAGATGAAAGTAAAAGTGGAAAAGCCGTTGGAAGAACATCAGGTTCTTCCACCAGTGATAAAGAACTTCCTACTCATCAATTTGAAGGCAGGCAAGGTGGAACTGTTAATGTTTCTTCTGCAGTTTCATCCAATGGTAATACTACAGCTTTGGTTAAAATCTCAAGTCAATCTATAAAATCATTAGATAGTCATAGCAGTGAACCGAAGGCAGAGAGTGGAGCTGCAAAATCTTCTGATTTGAGAGTGTCTGCTGTAAAAGATGATGTCATTGAGGTTTCTGATGTACAAAGAGCTCCTTCTCGATCAGTTCATTCTCCTAGACATGACAACTCTGTTACAGCTTCTAAATCTGGCGATAAGCCACAAAAGAGAGCCAGCCCTGCTGAAGAATTGGATGGAGTAAATAAACGTCGGAAAGGGGATGTTGAGTCAAGAGATTTAGAGGGTGAAGTGCGATTCTCTGATAGAGAAAGGTCTGTAGATCACCGAATAATAGACAAACATTATCCTATTGATCTTGAAAAATCAGGGTCTGATGAGGTAATTATCAGTAGGGCAATAGATAAGCCTCTGGATAGGTCAAAAGATAAGGGCAGTGAAAGACATGACAGGGACTACAGGGAAAGATTGGAACGTCCTGAAAAGTCTCGTGGAGATGATATTCTATATGAAAAATCCAGGGATAGGTCAATGGAAAGGTATGGAAGAGAGCGCTCAACAGAAAGAGTGCTAGAGAGAGGTGCTGATAGGGGGTTTGATAGGCTTACAGAAAAAGCTAAGGATGAAAGGAACAAAGAAGACAGAAGTAAATTGCGTTATAATGAAACATCTTCGGAAAAATCTTATGTTGATGATAGATTCCATGGGCAAAACTTGCCTCCACCACCGCCATTACCTCCTCATGTGGTCCCCCAATCAGTTAATGCCAGTAGAAGAGATGAAGATTCTGATAGAAGGTTTGGAACTGCCAGACATACTCAAAGACTTTCCCCAAGGCATGAAGATAGAGAGCGGAGACGATCTGAGGAGAATACCTTAGTTTCTCAGGATGATGCAAAACGCAGAAGAGAAGATGATTTTCGAGATAGAAAGAGGGAAGAAAGAGAGGGGCTGTCAATGAAGGTATGCCTAATCTAAGTGATTTTATTTCCATTCTACATTTTTTTTCCTAGGCAAGAGACTCACACACCACTTTTTTCCCTAATGGGATTTGATTCATTTGAACCCTCGGCCTTCCACTTTAGGGGGGTAGAGGAGATACCACTAGGCATGCAAATGGTTGAGAAATGTCCAGTTCAGCATTTTGGCATTTAATGTATGCAATAAGCTTTATATGAATGATTGATGCAGTTTGCTGTCAATTTATATTTTCTGTTGCAGCTAACTAATATAGATCATTGATTTAGCTGTTCATATACAATCGAAAACTCTGTTGTGTGATGTCCAGGAGTTCCTTTTGAGCTGTCTAATTATGGGCATGAACTTATATACTTGGTCTGAATCCCTTGATGGAAGCAGGGTGGTCACCTTTAGCTCTGATACATCCAAGTATAATTATGGGCATGAACTTATACCCCCCAAGAGGAGAAGGGGGGGGGGGGGGGGGGGGGGGGGGGGCTCGCTATGAATAAAAATCACAAAAGCACTTGGTGGAATTATAGCAAATCAATCCACCATAAGAAGAAAGTTTACGACCTTTGGTTACAAATTCTGAACCCCATAGGATCCCCTAATTACCTCAAATCTAGACTTGGACTAGATATTCTTTCTTGAACTCTATTACTGTCGATCTAGGACCCCATACTCCCCTATCTGCTCTTCACCTTGTGATTGATTTTCTTATCTAGCAATCCAAATCTTCGAACCTTTATTTGACTGTTGTTCATGAATGTTGAGAAGAAACACTTCACAAATATATGATCTACGCTCATGGAAATAAACTCACCATCTAATGCAATTTATATGAGGGTAGAATGCAAAAAAAACCCCGAACTATTGGGGTATTGCAAGATCCCCCCCCTGAATTATATATTTTCTGCAGTTTGCCCCACCAGCTCACCTTCCGGTACCAGAAAAGCCAGAAGACCAATTACCCCTTATAAAAACGACATGGTTTCAAGGCTTTATAAACTTAAGTTGGTGATGTGTAAAGTAAAATCTCAAAAGCCAATTAAATTGTGCCAACACGCGTAGTAAAGATATGGCTTCTATAAATACACACACTGATGCATTGCAAATGGAATTGGACTTTCTTCAAACAGTTGAAGATCCTAAGAAGACTAGACTGAGATCGCATTAATAGCATTGAGAGGAGAATGAGGAACTTCATCTGGGGTCACCAAGATAATACCAAAAAACACCATCGTTTTGGGTGAAAGAGATTGGCCACACTGAAGACAGAAGGGGGCCTTGGTATTAGGAGGATTAAGGACATAGACACAGCTGCTAAATGCGTGTTTGCTTGGTATTTCTTGGCCTCGAAAGATCGGTCATGGGTGGCATGGTTTAAGAACTGCTATATGAAGAATACATCTTTTTGGCAGGTGGTAGTGACAGATTTGTCATCCTCTATTTGGAAGAGTATCCTGTCAACTACAGATATTGTTTTGCAAGGATGCACTTACAGGATTGGAGATGGATCCTCAATCAAATTCTTCCTTGATCCTTGGTTCAAAGGATTCCTAGCCCAAAAATTTAATCATAGAATATTGAGGAGGCTGCATCCGGTGAAGACAGTTTTTGTGGAATTTTTCGTGACTCTTAATTCTTGGGATGCTGCGAAATTTAGTCCAGAAATTCGGGAGGTGTATCAATCTTCACGGGAAGATCAAAAGTTGTTCAATTGATAGAGATGTGGTCCTTAGGGTTGATCATCAGAGCATTGCAGAACGTGAATCCGTATTGAAATCTTGTCTGGTTGGTCATTTTGATCGTGATGTGGGGTGCACTAAAAGGATCGAGGAGTGGGCGACGAAATGTTGGCAGATCTCGTGTGGAGTAAAAGTTTCAACCCTACCTGACGGCATGTTCTTGTTCCGTCTACCATCGGAGGCTGCAGCTTGTAGGGTCTTGAATGTGGGGAGGAAGAGATGGGGTGAAGCTTCCTTACACATCGACAAGTGGGATTTCACGGTGGGCTGCTCCGCCGTGGTTGATCGCGACAGGTTACGAAGGGTGGTGTTGTTCGGCTTGCCCCTCCATCTATGGTGCCACAAACTGTTAGTAGCCATCGGAGACCTCTGCGGTGGGTTTAGAGGAGTGGAAGCGGATGATCAAGCGAGAGGCGAACGAGTTCTCCTTCTTGTTTCCGCCGGAGCTGTGGTGCCGAAGTTTGTTTTTGTTGAAGAACAACGAGTAGCCTTTAAGATTAGTTTGATTGAGGAAACTTCACCTTGCATTCTTCCAAAATCCTATTATGGGTTTGGTGAGGCTTCTCCCCTTCCGTCTGATGGAGAATTCAACGGTGGGCGTCATCGGCATTTGCAAACTCAACTGAGTTCTCAAGGAAAGCGAAGAGCGTTCGCCAACGCGTCGGCAGCGAGTGGGGTAGACAGATTTCCGAGGCGTACGCATAACGCCCGTCATCAGCGCTTTTCAAATCCTCGTTTTGATCGCCTTGATGGTAATCAACCACGTGGGCAACCACGTGGCTTTACGAGGGCCTTTCATGCAGCAGACTCAGATGGGCGTAAGTATGGGCCTCTTTTTTCTGGGTTGAACAATGGGCCGTTAGGTTTTTATGGACCACAAGCTTCACTTAAAAGGAATGTTATGTGGAGACCCAACAATAAGCTATCCATTTCTTTCCTCAATGATAAGCCCAAACCACAGTTGCCCAAGTCCAGCCGAAACAATGCTAAGTTACGTATTGGGCCATTTGAAGACTTAAAAAGAATGGTTCATTAATGGTTCATTGGGGGCCAATAATCAGAAGTCAGTTTCTTTTCTTAATACAAAACCCAGTCCAGCCACTGAACCAATTATTGATCATATACAGGGTCGTCTTCCTCATGCTCCCTCTGTGAATTTCTGGAACTCACCGGAGAAGAGGAGATGGATGAAATTAAGTGAAGATGAGGCTGGTGTGGGAACAGACAAGAAGGGCTTTCGTCATATACAATGTTGCGCTGATTCTTCACTTAAGCCCCCTCCAGCTACAACTCGGATAATGGGAAGCAGCTCTAGACTTTCATCTCGGGATTCTTACAGAAGCAGCCATGTTTACAGATGGTCGAGGAAAGATAAACAGAAATGGACCTCCACTGACCCAGGAATGTCCTCTGTTTCTCATTCTCAGAGCTCCCTTAAAGTACCTTCTTCTTCCACCCTTTCTGGATAGGTGAGGGGCGATGTTGGGATGTCAATGGAGAATAGTTGTGTTATGTTTGATGTGCCCTCGGCACCTGTTGAAGAGTTTGGGCTGGTTACAGAGAAGACTGCCAGCGAAATTGTCACTTTAGGCCAAGTTGATTCACTCAATTGTGAAGTTCAGGACTCATCAGATGGGGTCTCGGTCCGAGTTGGGAGAGACCTTCACTTTCAGCTGTCTAATGAGTCAACCATGGCTCTGCTTAAAGAACTTCGCCTTTATGCTGCTTTGAAAGGTTTTAATTGCATATCTTCTGACGGGGAAGAGGAGAATAAATTGGTTAGTTTCTTGAGCAGTGGAATGGGAGACTGTACTGATTCTGACTCGTTTTCAGAGCCTTTTGATTTTGGAAGGGATTGTGATGAGGAGGTGGCTACTGATTTGGTTTCTATCCAAGAAGTCTGCTCTAACAAGTCTGTACCATGGATGGAGAATGATTTTTCTGAAGTGATGAGAAACCTTTGGCAATTGAGAGATCTGGTTGTTCAGTAACAAATGTTGATTTGGGTAAGGACTAGATGATTGAAAATATAGGAGCTGCTAGTGAGTTGCTAGGTGTTTCTTCAGAGGGAAACAATAACCAGACACTCTCCATTCTTCAAGCAATAGTGGATGGTAGAGAGGTAGTTGTGACTGAAGAGGTAGTGAACCCGAGGCCTTTATCATTCTAGAAAGGAGCACAGGAGATCAAGAATCTTATCTCTGAAGTTAATTATGAAGGAAAGAAAGGGGTGGTGAAGGAGAGGGGAAGGACTAGGAGTAAAAGCGCGAAGAAAGGAGGGGGGGAGATTATATTATCTTGTTTTTAATGAAGCTACGAATTATTTCCTTGAATGTTCGTGGTTTCAACGACCCGAATAAAAGGAGGGTGGTTAAGGTTGCTTTGAGGAAGTGGGGGGCCCAAGTTATTTGTTTGTAAGAAATAAAGTTGGCATCTATTACGGATGGGGTGGCTAGGAGTTTGTGGGGAGGAAGGTTTGTTGAATGGGAGGTCTTGAATGCTACAGATACTTCGGGCGGTATCTTAGTTATGTGGGATTGTAGATGGGTGTCTTGGTTGGATGTGTGGGTGGGGTGATTCTCAGTGTCTTGCAAGTTCAAATTGGAAGGGGACAATTTCAGTTGGGTTTTTATTGGGGTTTATGGACTAGTTGTTGATATTGATCGGCCTTTTTTCTGGGAGGAGCTTAATTATGCTAAAGAAATGTGGTCTCTTCCTTGGTGCTTGGGTGGGGATTTCAATTATGTTAGGGATTCCCATTAGAGAGGTCCACAGGAGGTAGGAGGTCTTCTGAAATGGATCAGTTTTCTGATTTCATTGACGAACATCTTCTCATTGATTTACCTATGGAAGGCGCAACCTATACACGGTCAAATGGCAGGGACCCGGTCACTTTTTCAAGGATGGATCGTTTATTGATTTCTGGGGAGTGGGAAGAGAAATTCCCGGATGTCGTTCAAGCAATTTTAGCTCGAGTTATTTCTGATCATGTTCCTTTGGTTTTAGATTGTGGAGGTTTGAGTTCTCAAAGGTCTCCGTTTCGATTTGAGAATATATGGCTAAGAGCGGAGGACATCCAAGGAAAAGTTCAGTCTTGGTGGGAGGGAGTTGTTGTCATAGGCTTATCTAGTTTCATGTTATCCACAAAGTTGAAGGCTCTCAAATTCGATCTTAAAAAGTGGAATAAAGACGTTTTTGGGAATCTTGAATGGAGGAAGTGTAGAGTCCTTGCTGATTTTTATGAGATTGATT